GGGGGGTTTGGGGGGGTGTCGTGGTTTTGGGGTGCCCCCCCCATCTCTGACCGCCCCCCGGCCCCCCAGCGGGGCAGCTGACGGGGGCTTCTTCGGTGGAGATGTACCGGCAGGTCCTGCTGAGCGGCTGCCGCTGCATCGAGCTCGACTGCTGGAAGGGGCGACCCCCCGATGAGGAGCCCTTCATCACCCACGGCTTCACCATGACCACCGAGATCCCCTTCAAGGTGCCCCCCCAAAAACTGGCGGTCCTCCAAACCCCCCTGAGCCCCCCAAAACTACCCAAAGCCCCCCAAAACTACCCAAAGGCCCCCCCAAAACTGCCCTGGCCCCATAGCACCCACAATGGGCCACTCTTGAGCACCCAGACCTCCTTTAAGACCACCCCAAAACCCAGGGGGTCCCCCCAAAGCCCCCTCTTGGGCCACCACAGCCCCTTTGGGGGGGTCCCAGTTTTTGGGGTGCCCCCCTGAACCCCCTTTTCCTGCCTGGCAGGAGGTGATCGAGGCCATCGCTGAAAGCGCCTTCAAGACGTCGCCGTACCCCGTTATCCTCTCCTTCGAGAACCACGTAGATTCGTGAGTCCCCCCCGAATCTCCAGGGTCCCCCCCAAGCCTCCAGGGGTCCCCCCAAGTGCCTTGGGGTCCCCCCAAACTTCTTGGGGTCCCCACAAAACCTCCAGGGTCCCCACAAACCCGCAGGGTCCTCCCCAAACCTCCAGGGTCTTCTGTCATTCCTTTGAACTCCAAATCCCATTGGGAGGATTTGGGGGGAACCCCCAGGGGTCCCTAAAAATCCTGTGGGGTCCCCAAAAATTCCTGGGGTACCCCCAAATCCCTCAGGGCCTCCCCCCCTTCCCAGGGTCCCCCTGAAAACGTCCCTGACCCCCTCCCCAAAACCAACTGGATGCAAGCAGGGGGAATGCTGAAGGAGGAGGGATAACCCCCCGAAACCCCTTTTTCACCCCAAAATTGGGGGGGCGGGGCCTGTGGATTTGGGGGACCCCCCCAGCACCCCAATATTCTGCCCTCCCCAGGACCAAGCAGCAGGCGAAGATGGCCGAGTATTGCCGCAACATATTCGGGGACGCGCTGCTCATCGACCCCCTGGAGAAGTACCCTGTCAGTTTGGGGGTGCAGGGGGGTGGGTTGGGCATACAGGAGAGGGTTTGGGGGGCACGGTGGATTTTAGGCATGCAGGAGGGGAATTGTGGGTGTCTGGGAGGGTCAGTGCAGGTTTGGGGGTGCAGAGCTGCATTTTGGGGGTGCAGGGGAGGAGTTGGGGGTGCAGAGCTGGGTTTCAGGGGTGCAGGGCCGAATTTGGGGGGTGTAGGGCTGGGTTTTGGGGGTGCAGTGGAAGTTTGGAGTGCAGGGCTGGATTTGGGGGTACAAGGAAAGATTTGGAGGTGCAGAACTGGATTTGGGGGTACAGGGGAAGATTTGGGGGTGCAGGGCCGAATTTGGGGGGTGTAGGGCTGGGTTTTGGGGGTGCAGTGGAAGTTTGGAGTGCAGGGCTGGATTTAGGGGTACAGGGGAAGATTTGGGGGTATAAGGATGGGGTTTTAGGGGTGCAGGGTTGGGGTTTGTGGGTACAAGGGAAGATTTGGGGGTGCAGGGCTGGATTTGGGTGTTCAAGGAAAGATTTGGGGGTACAGGGGAAGATTTGGGGGTGCCAGGCAGGATTCTGGGGTGTGGGGCTGGATTTTGGGGCTACAGAGCTATATTTGGGGTGGCAAGGCTGAATTTGGAGCATATTTTGGGGTGCAGGGGTAGGTTTTGGGGGTACAGGGCTGGGTTTTAGGGGTGCTGTGCTGGTTGGATGGGCAGGGTTGGATTTGGGGGTGCAGGGAGGATTTGGGCGTGCAGGAGGTGTGGGATTTTGGGGGTGTGGGGCTGAGTTTTGGGGGGTGCCATCAAGGTTGGGTGGGTTTGGCTGGATTTGGGGTTACAGGAAAGTGGGGGGGCCCCCCCATGACTTTTGGGGTGCTGCAGCTGGAGCCGGGGGTGCCCCTGCCCAGCCCCCAGGACCTGCTGGGCCGGATCCTGGTGAAGAACAAGAAGCGGCGCCCGAGGCCGGCCCCCGGCCCCCCCAACCTGCGCCCCAAAACTCCCGGCGCCAGCGACCCGGGTACCCCAAAACCTCCCTGCTGCACTGCAAAACTTCCCCTCTGCACCCCAAAACCTCCCCTCTGCACCCCCAAATCCCACCTGTGCCCCCAAATGGCTCCAGCCCTGTGCCAGTGCCCCTGCACCCCAGCCTGTCCGCACCCCAAAACAATCCCCTGAACCCCCAAACCCTCCCCCTGAACTCCCAAAACTACACCTGCACCCCAGACCAGCCTGGTGCCAGCAATCCCTGCACTCAAACCCTCTCCTTTAAACCCCAAACTTCCTCCTGCACCCCAAAACCTCATCCTGTACCCCTAAAGTTCCCCTGCACCCCAAAACCCCTCCCTGCACCCCAAACTGCTCCAGCCCTGCACCAGCGACCCTGGTACCCCCAAACCTCCCCCTGCACCCCAAACCTCACCTGCACCAACTCCCCCCAAACACCACCCCACCCCCAGACCCCCCATCTCCCTATATAGCACCCCAAAATCTGTAAGGAGCCCCCCCAAACTCTTCTGCCCCCCCCAAACTGTGTTATGCTCCCAAAAACCCCTGGGCACCCCCAAACTGCTGGGCTTTGGGGTCCCCTCTCACATCCTGCTCCCCTACAGGCCCCCCCCTCACGGAACACTCTGAAACTGGGATCCCCCCAGTACCCAATGGGGAGGAGAAGGGGCCCAAGCTGGGTGAACCCCGAAAATCTATTGGTGAGTTTGGGGGTGCTGGGGGTGATTTGGGTGGGAGCTCAGAGGGATTTGGACATGCCAGGGGGAGATTT